ACATGTATTTTGATATATTTTTCATATGTACATATACATATAATATATATAAATATATATGAAAAATTGATGTGGGTACTCAAACGAAAGGTCTTGATGAGTGCAATGTCGGGATGAGCTTATATCTTCAAAAATATCATTAATTAATAAAATGGCCAAGTCAAATTTTAATTATTGACATTTTTAAAGATATAAGCTCATCCCGATGTTACACTCATCAAGAGCTTTCATTTGAGTACCCACATGCATTTTGATATATTTTTCATATATACATATATATAATATATATATATAAATATATGAAAATTGATGTGGGTACTCAAATGAGAGGTCTCGATGAGTATAATGTCAGGATGAGCTTATATCTTTAAAAATGTCAATAGTTAAAAAAGTACAGTTAAAATTTTTCTTATTCTTTCAATAATATAGATTGTTTAAAAGTTGATTTTTTATTGAGCGCCTTGCAATTGTGGATATTTTTTTTTATTTTTACAATAATAAAATAGTGATGTGAAAAATAAAATTTCAGAGTCCATCAGCAACGAGTGATAGTGACGTAGGACAACATGTCGACGTGAGATGTTCTCTGGTAGACGTAGCTGACGATTACACTAAGAGGAAACATGTATTCCGTGTTGCTAATACAAGTGCGGAAGTGCTTCTGCAAACTGACGACGCTGCATCGATGGCTCTTTGGCTGAGAGCACTTCATAAGCATGCTGCTGCTGAAAAGACTTTGGTAATTATTTAACCCATTTTTTAAATTAAAAAAAATTTTTTAACAGATTTATTTAAATAAATAAATCAAATTAATTTATTTAAATAAATAAATTAAAATATTCAATGAAAAAATTTTATAAATTTTATTCTAATGTGATTTAATTGAAAAAAAAGTTATGAAATATGTTAGCATTAAAATTAATCAAAGTAGTTAAGATAAAAATAATAATTCAAAAAGTGTAATGCCTACAATAAATTATAAAACATAATTTTTTAAACTGTATATCGAGGCCGTGGACTAACGAATCTAAATCTATATTTTATTATTCGTAAACGTAAAGCAAATTAATATTTAACGAGAAGAAGAAATAGTAATAGTATCGCCCGCGGATATTTCTTGGTCTCGACCGTTATCACGACTTAATTGGCACGTTGTTGTCGCGCGCTGCTCAAACTAGATGGCTATGCTAATAGACTGTTAAATGTTCCCGGTGTATGTATACCGATACTCGCTATACGATCCCCATAAACATTCAAAACACGTTTTATCCATTCATCCGTAATTGCTTAAGTACATTTAATAGTTTTCCACTAAATATTTTCTATTATTTATTTGACTTGTCATAGGAATAATCAAAGTTGAGCTACGGCTTATCTACCGACAATTTAACATTTTATTTCAATTTAATACAATACTTTTTTTTTTAAACGTCGCCGGTAGCTTTTAACAATTGACAATGAATACTTTAATACATATTTGGAGAGAAATTTTAATTGTTGGCATTCAAGGCAATTGAAATCTAAGCATGACGTTAAATTATTAATTTCATTTTATTTATCGCTAATTAAACTGTCACCTACTTTTCTGAGCCTTGATTCGTGTTTTATTTTATAAATTACAAGTATTTTTAACTATATTAAAAAACTTACTGTCAAAATAATTGTAACTAGCAATCTTGCAGACTTTTGGTAAATTGCACTGTACTTTTTTAACTATTGACATTTTTAAAGATATAAGCTCATTCCGATGTTACACTCATCAAGAGCTTTCATTTGAGTACCCACATGCATTTTTGGTATATTTTTCATATATACATATATATAATATATTTAAATATACAAAAAATTGATGTGGGTACTCATATGAAAGGTCTTGATGAGTGTAACATCGGGATGAGCTTATAACTTAAAAAATGTCAATAGTTCACAAGATACAATGTAATGTCTTAACCATTGACATTTTTGAAAATGTAAGCACATCCCGATGTTACACTCATCAAGAGCTTTCATTTGAGTACCCACGTGCATTTTGATATATTTTCATATATACATATATATAAATATATAAATAGACAAAATATATGAAAGATTGATGTAGGTACTCAAATGAAAGGTCTCAATGAGTGTAACATCGGGATGAGCTTGTATCTTCAAAAATATCAATAGTTCACAAGAATACAAGGTCATTTCTTAATTATGTTAAATTGCACTGTACTTTTTTAAATATTGATATTTTTAAAAATATAAGCACATCTCGGTATTGCACTCATCAACACCTTTCATTTAAGTACCCACATGCATTTTGATATATTTTTCATATATACATATATATAATATATATAAATATATGAAAAATTGATGTGGGTACTCAAATGAAAGGTCTTGATGAGTGTAACATCGGGATGAGTTTATATCTTTAAAAATGTCAATATTTCACAAGATACAAGGTCGTTTCTTAATTATGTATCTAGAGATAGAGCATTTTCGAATGCAGCCTAAATACTTATCATAATAAATTGACTATTTATTGACTATAAATTGACTCTCAATAATATAGATTTTGGCTAAAATTATTAAATATCAAAAATTTTACTCAACAAATTTTTATCAAATTGTTATCTAAAAAAATTTTTTTTTATTATAATTAATTTTATCTATAAATTATTAACAAAATTAAAATTTTATGAAGAGATAATATTTATAAATAAATCAATCGCATTAAAAATCCAAGAGACACCTTGAATAAAATATAAACTCATCAATATCTGAGTCGCACAATAAAAACTATGTCATGTGAATAATAATAAACTAATTGCAATATATCAGGACGGCAATTCAAGTACGACGAAACAGCAAGCAGTGCCACAAACACCTGGACCAACAACACCAAGTGGCAGCCCAGCTGGAGGCCAACGGCTAAGTCCACTGCCAGGTCACAAAGGCATTAGAAAGTTAACGTCTTTCCGCAATCGTTCGCCAACTGGTCAATCACCTGTCAATAAAACCCGCAAACCTAGCCAGACAGTCGAGCCGCTGCAGTCCCCGAAATCTAAGACGTGGAAGGGCCGCGTTGCTAAACAACTCAGAAAGATGCATGGTCAGGCCGGCTCCCCGTCGTCGCCAACGGCGCAGTTACAGCCCGAGGGTGCTACTTTCAAAGTTCCGTTGGAATTGTGCCCGGTGGTAAGTACTTAGCTTCTCTAGCTTGAAGATTGTATTACTTGGCTACTTGTAGTAGTATTATTTCATATTGCCCGTACTGGTATGATAAACGCTAAAGTTTTACCGTATCCGCGCCAATTGGGCTCCATTTATCCTGTAATAACACTAAATCGTTTGTCGTCTAGTCCTCGTTCTCGGAGTTCGTGCCGCTGATTGTTGAAATGTGTACCAGTATCGTCGAAGCGAGGGGTCTTGAAGTTATTGGAATTTATCGAGTGCCTGGAAATACTGCAGCTATATCACAACTTACTGAGAGTGTCAATAAGGGCTTTGAAAATATTAACTTACAGGTAATTTATTTATTGAATTTTTTTTTTGCACTGTACTTTCTTAACTATTGACGTTTTTAAAAATATAAGCTCATTTTGGTGTTGCACTCATCAATAGCTTTCATTTGAGTACCCACATGCATTATCATATATTTTTCATATATACATATATATGATGTATATAAATATATGAAAAATTGATGTAGGCACTCAAATGAAAGGTCTCAATGAGTGTAATGTCGGGGTGAGCTTCTATCTTTAAAAATATCAATAGTTCACAAAATACAAGGTCATTTTTTAATTATGTTAAAATTGCACTTACTTTCCTAAATATTGACATTTTAAAAAATATAAGCTCATCCCGATATTACTCTCATCAAGAGCTTTCATTTGAGTACCCACATGCATTTTTGATATATTTTTCATATATA